CTTTTGTACAAAGTATTAGATAAATTTCAGTAAGCGTGTTCAATACTTTTTCCCTGTGCCATTCCACATTATTACAAATAACTTCATTTATGGTTTGATTTCTTTGTATGTATGGATCACTTGGGTTGTTATCGACATCTGGTGAAAATTTCACGTCATTACCACCTCTAGTAATATATTTACTGAGAAAAATGGTGACGTGTTCAATACTTATTTTACCCGCTTTATATAATCAGTMACAAAAGATTCAAACAGACTGTCGTGTCAGTTTAATCTGCTGCACAAGGACAGATTAATGAAAGCTAGGCCAGAGTTTAACTTTAAGAAAGATTTTTCAGAACAGAGTTCAGTTCAAGAGAAATCATGACCTGTTGAGTCAAGAGGTCTTTCATGCTATACCAGTGGTGGACAAAGTACTCAACTCTAGTACTTTGGTAAAAGTATTGATATTCAGGGTCAAATCTTACTCAACTAAGTAAAAGTTACTTGGTCAAAAATCTACTCAAGTTAAAGCACTTTAATACTTACTTTTGAACATTAAAAAGTACATGCTTTTAAAAATACTGAAGTATTCAAAAGTACAAGTTAAAATTTATATTATCAGTACATTGCTGTATAGTTTTCAGTGATTTTACAGAACCTTGTAACTCTCAGAAACCACCTGATGAATCGACACATAGAACCACTCTGATACAAAACCACCACCTGTAAAGACTTCAGCATAAAAAAGCAATAAAGTGAGAGGTGAGTTCTTAAATACAGAAATGTAGTTTGTCCGCGGTGAACACAGCAGACATTTGAACTGATAAATTATTTTTCAATCCTAAAATCTCAAACATCAAGCTCAGATATGGCCATGGGTGCACTGGTTTCTCCACTGAAGTTTCTTCAATCATCTCCGTTGCTGGGTTCTGTTTGAAATGAAGGTGGGCGCTCAGCTTGCAAATCATTAACAAGGATGATGTACTGTATTTTTCGGACTATAMCCGCACCCGCCATTTTAAAAAAAACAAAACCCGTGAACATTAGCATTTAAGCCGCACCGGACTATAAGCCACACTCCCAACATAAAAAAAAACAGTACACCCAAATTTGTCGTCAAAAAAGTGAATTCAACATCAAAACATAAAAAGCAAACCTTTAAGAATTAAAGCTCAGAGGAATACGGTTCATTTAACTGACCTTATTTTGGTAGTTTTCTTTAACAGTTTCTGGTCCATCAAAACGTCTCATTCATCGTCCTCCGGCGAACTGAAACCATCGAAGTCCTCCTCTTCAGTGTCGGAGTTAAACTAGCTGAGAAAAGCTGAGAAAAGCTGCGTCACACAGCGGTTATCTGTTCAGTGTTGCTTTCTATGTCGCTGTCCTCCCGGGGTAATGCTGGCTCTGAAGCTGTGGTGTCCTCTTCACGTAGCAGTCCAGCCTTTCAGAACCCATTGGTGATGGTGGACTCATTCACTCTGCTCCACGCTGTTAGGATCCACTGGCAGACATCAGGAAATGACGCTCTTCCGGCCAGTTTCTGTTAATGATTTATCCCCGTCAGTCATCCAAGCCTCCCATTCACCCCTGAGTGCTGCTTTAAATGCACGATTCACACTGATGTCCAG